CGGGATCCGGGATCCAGGATCCGGGGCCCGCAGGTCCGAGGTCGGGGTTTCCCCCGCAGGGGTTCGGGGATCGATTGACAACTCCGGCCGACCCCCCGGGGATCCCCGCATGACAACCCTGCCAGACTCCAACATCCCATCCACTTCACAATGAAAAACAGAAATGCAACACCCAAAAGAAAAAGAATACACACACACACACACACACACACACACACACACACACACACACACACACACACACACACACACACACACATTCACACATGCACACACACACGCACAGCCACACACACACACACACACACACACACACACTGCTCAACCAGACCTGGAGATTGGGGCATCATAGAATCTTTTGTTGAGAACAAACTCGACCAGAGACACTTAACAGCAGTCCTCAATCATGATTGACGACTCGTTGTTCAACACAGCATCTACCCGAAAAGGATATGTACCTCGGAGATGTATGATACTGTAATAGTTCCCACAGTTGTCTTCTTCGTCGAGGGATCAAACAGGACCAACTCCTGCCTTTCTGGCTCTTGACCCTGCAAAAATGCAAACAGATTAAGAAAAAACAAAAAGGAAGTATATCAGAGTAGATGAATTCTTCCAATGCATTTCCGGGAAGTTCATTCCATCTTAGTCGTTTGCATATCACAGTACACCTACAGACATTTCCCATCTCAAACTCTGGTCACAAAGCCCAGGGCTGTGTCTGAGCAAGCCTACCAATTTCCCGTCTCACTGGGACTTTTTTCAGCTAGATTTGACCGTAAACCCGATCAGGTACATCCAGGAGAGCAGCATGGGTATGCCCCTAGATTAGAGGCCATGCACACACTCAAAAGTCAAAAAGTTTTTTTGATAATGCCTCTGGCGGTGATTGCAGCCACACAAACCCCTGGGAAAGTGCCACATAAAACGCAGGCAGAGAGGGAAAAGAGGACAACAAACGAACGGGATGTGACAGACTGGTTTGCCAGAGTTCCACCAAATCATCAAGAGGCTGAACGCTCTACAGTCTGCAGAGTCCCCTAACTGATGATACTGTAGGTGCGAGGCACAAGGCCTCGATAAGCCCTACTGGGCCCCTATTTGCAACAGCGTCGGCCGCCCTAAGTGAAGGCAGGCTCAACAGACGACAGGAGGCCTATTTTGGACTACTTCGCAACTGGGGGAAAATTCAGGCAGTTGCGCAGCGCCAGTTGGTTGAAAGCACCCAGGCCCTGGTCTCCTTTTATCAAATGTATCTGAGTCAGGCCCTGGGCGAGATACGCAGCATAGGCCCAACTCAGGCTCTGGGCAGTTGGGCACGGATAACCATCGGTGACCCTGGGGCTGATTCGTTTGTTCTGAGGCTCAGCCTCCCTGGGCCTACCGGAAGCTTCTGGGCAGCGGCCCAGCGCAACCAGGCTGCACGCACGCAGGCTGGCCACTTCCATATAGGAAAGGGCCAGCCCACGCAGATGGTATTCGGGCACTGGCTGCTTTCTGCGCAAGCTCTGTTGCGCTATCGCCTTCCAGGCTCACGCGCTCACGGGCGAGCTGGAAGGAGCAGGCAGCCATAGCCGAGCTGCGCTGCTGTATGCTGGATGGGGCGCATGGTGGTCCTTGGGTGCATGTGGCATCTGTGAGTTGGGGAACGAGGTTGTGAGTGATACGAGAGACATACCTGGTGCTTGAAGCGTACGGCAATGTCCGAGATCTGCTCGTACTTCGGGGAGTTGTTGACGTCATCAGCGGCATTGTAGAGTAGGCTAGATAGGATCTGCCATTTGTAGTCTGGGCGCCGAGCGCCAGATAGGGTATCAACATTGGTTCTTCGTTGATGATGATGAGACTATTCCAGCATTGTCAATTATGACCTTTTCGTGTGCTCTTATTTGGTGAAACTCATGATGCAATTCTGCTAATGATATCTGGTCTCATGTGTATGATGCTGTTTGATTTCTGAAGTTCGCTATTGCTCATCTTCCTTGCAATTTGGTATCGGGGCTGTGGTTCGGTGCGCTAATCTGGCGCTTGTCTTCTGCCTAATGTGGTACATGCACGCGGTGTGTGCGGTGAGCCACCGTGTCGTGGGACGTGTGTAGTGAGGAGGGCGAAGATAAGCAGGCGACCCAGGTGGAGAGGGGATCGCCAGGAAGGCTAAGTGGTGTGATATTGGGTGTTTGCAGTGTGATGAGAACTATCCGATGTGTGATCGGTGCTGAGGTGGAACGGCTGTGCAATGCTGGTTGTGCCGAAGCAGCGATTGGTCATCACAATCAACATCGGGTCATCTGGTGAGAATATCTGTGGTTGGGGGCAGCTATTTTGAGGTACGTTGCACCTAACCTTATCTACCCTCTTCGACACTTCTCACTGTGAGGATGTGTGTTCTGTCTTGAGAGTCCTCTCATGTGAGGAGTCGTGTGCGCTCAACCTTGAGAGTCGTCAGCCTTCACGTGGAGCATCTGGAAGGAGAGGGCGGTGCTATCTGAAGGGCCCTGTACGAAGCACTGGGTCACAGTCACCATGCCAACCCACCGGGAGTAGAGCACGCATGCTTTGCTGCTTTGTCCTTTGTCTGCTCGCTGCGCTGTAGAGGTGTTCTGAGGGGCAGGCCAGCCCTATGGGACAGACAAGACCGGGCATCTATAAATAAGCACCGGCGGGGACCTTCCATTGGCTGTGATCGTCGTCCTGTTTGCGATCGTCGTCCTGTTTGCGACGTTAAAGAATTCCTCAGGACTTCGGGGGCCGTCCACAAAAACGCCTCCTGATCAGCCAATTGTTCGGTGTAAGGCTCGCTGCACACGAGGATAAAGACTGTGCAGGGCTGGCCAGCTCAGCAGGACTCGGGGCACAGGGGTGGGCCGTGTGCACACCTTTAGACATGCACGCTGTCCGGATTGCTCAGGGACGCTGCCGACAAGAGACAGTCAATAAGAACTGAGGGAGGGGTAGATTCCAGGTGATAAGTTTGGGCAAGATTCCATTCTGCAAACAGACCCAACAAACGATTCTATTTTTATTTTTGATTAGTTAGATGTACAGCCATTGACATCTAACAGACAGCATAGTTAGAACATTGTGCTTTCTGTTTGTGAACTAGTCAAAGTCAAAGTAGTTCGTTTGTAGGAATCTGAACTTACCTGTTGGACCCAAATGTATCTTCTCTGACATAGCCACCGATTAGTTTAATTCGGTCTGTGCATGATGCTGCGGTAGGCATCAAGAGTGTCCTAGTATAGACGGTGTGCAGTACTGTAGCTTATGAGCGACAGGGAGGTCGCACAACCAGACGATAGGCTCTTGCGATCGGCTAGACGCCTGGTAGCCCACTTGGCCTTAGGACCAGAGGGTGACAGGTTACTGTTCCGCCAGCTTAGGGAGAGGCAGCAGCAGCAGAGGAGAGCTAGGGCAGCAGAAGAGAGCTAGGGAAGCAGAGGCCAGCAGGGCGTTCGCAAGCGAAGCCGCAGCCTCAACAGCCATGGCAACTTCTGCGCAGCAGGGTTCCCAGGCCAGCAGTTCAGGAACCGTAGGGTCAACCGTCGCACAGACCATTAGTCAGTCCATTGGCGTCATGGCAAGCCAGCCGTTAGTGATGACTCCCGAGGAGGTCGCCATACAGCGAGCTGCTGATCGCGAGGCACAGCTACAGCAGGCTTTACGAGAGATTAAGGCAGAAAAAGAAAGAATGATTAGAAGAAGAGCCAGGTTGCAGCGGAGACAAGCGGACATTAACGAGTTAGAAGAGATGGACCCAACGGCGTTGGATGATGAAGTGAGGACCCTGAGGTCGGTCTTGCTAGGTGTAGTGGAAATGCAAGATCACGAGACGGCGATCTTACAGGACATCCAGCAGAGTCTAGCCGTGTTGGTCGGGCGAACGCAGGCAACACCATCGCTGTCCGGGCCTGGTGCCTGGCCCGTTGTACATCCTCACCTTTTGTCTCACCGGTGACTGGGGTATCCCTGGGTATGCCTTTACCAGGCAGGTTCTCAGCAGGTCCTAGTGTACAGATTCTTGTACAGAAAGTGTTCACCCAGCCTCCCTCACAGGTTGCCGTAAGCGGGCAGCCTGCTGTCTCGCAGCCTGCACAGCTGCAAGGTACACAGCCCCAGCAGCTAGTGCGGCAGCCTGCTCCACAGGGTCCACAGCCCGGAATGGTGCAGGTACTGGGACAAAGTCAGTGGGTTCCAAAGACGGCCATCGCCGCTCCTAAACCCTTCACAGGGGATAAGAGGGGCGAAGACCTCGACACATGGTTGGGGGCAGTGCCAGTCTATGTCAAGTGCAAACTTACCTTGCCGCACGAGGAAGTGCTTGTGGCTGCCTCGTCTAGAGGGGAGTGCAGCAAGATGGTTGAGTGGTTTAGTGCAGCTACAAGGGTACGGTCATGACTTTCGAGCTTGGGCGGTCACTCAGAGACTGGATGACTTCCTCAAGTTGGTGGAAGACAAGTGGCATGATCCTCAGGAGGCCCAGGGAAGCTTAGATGGGGGCCGCTTAGGGGGCGCAGCGCAACCGGGAGCGTTGCGCCCCGCCGATCTCGCCGACGGGCTACGGAGAAGTGGGCAGGCGCGGACAGTGCATGGCGACGAAGGGCGACGGGGAGCATCGGTGAGCGGAGAAGCGCGAAGGAAGCGTATGCTGCGCATGGCGACGAAGGGCGAAAGGGAGTAGCAGCGAGCGGAGAGGCGCGATGGAAAAGGATGCTAACAGGGCATGTGACGAGCGGGACGGGTGAAAGGAAGAGGGTTTAGGGCGGGGGGTTGGCGGGGGTGGCTATGGTCGTTGTGTAAACCACTCGAGGATGATGACTTAGCAGAAGACTGTAACTAGGGTGCTTCGTTCGTCCAGGTGAGTGCTTCTATTTGGGAAACGACTTCGGCCTTCTCCGTCTTGAGAGTTGCTAGTCTGGAGAGCGCGTTTTTTTCTGGTATTTTTTTGAGGTTGTCTTTCTACAGGTTTAGCATCACCAAGATTGGAAGTGAATTGAAGATGTTGAGTGGGGTAGAGGTAGAGCTTGGGCGATGGAATTGATTTCCCCCCCTCCTTCCTTAATTTTGGCGTGAATGAATGTCTAGTAGGGTTTGAACCTCCTGCGACGACTCACTGACGGGTTTGGTGAGGTGGAGTCGCACTGTCTTCTAATCCTTGAGGGCTTGGAGATGGTCGTTGTTGTCTTCGGTTTTAGCATTGCTTCGATGCTTAGTGGCTAACAGTGGGAGGAGGGGGGTCCTCTTTCCCCGAAGATGGTGGGGTAGGGTTTGTGGGGAAGGATGGCAAGTACGTGGGGATCGAGGAAGGGGGGGGGGGGRGTTGTTTGAGAAAGCTCTATGGTTGAGGGTGGAAATTTATATTAGGTAGTTCTGCGTAATAGTTGTGATCTAATAGGAGTTAAGTACGATTTTGAAAGGAGTTTCTAACTATCTTCGCCCTCTCACACACAATTGTTTGTCAAGATGTTTTTCTGTTTAGCGTCGATTTGTTTTTCTGTTTAGTAATTTTCATGATTTACTGTCGTAAGTGATCTTGTTGATTTTTTATATCCCC